ACTTATATCTATTACTTGTACAGTATTTTACAGTCTACTTATGATTGATGATGAGAAAACTAGAATCCTGATTTAACTCCCATTTGGTGTCCTTCCCACTCTAATTTCTACCTTAATTAGAAATATAACCTTGCTTATAAAGAAAGTAATTAAAAAGATTTTTTAATGTTTATTTTTGAGAGAAACTGTGAGCAGGGGAGGGACAGAGAGAGAGGGAGACACAGAATCCGAAGCAGGCTCCAGGTTCTGAGCTATCAGCACAGAGCCTGAGGCGGGGCTCAAACGCACAGACCACAAGATCATAACCTGAGCTGAGGTCAGACACTGAACCAACTGAGCCACCCAGTTGCCCCTGAAAGCAATTTTAAGTAGACCACTGGGAGTCAACTAGACATACTATTTATTTACCTGTCAGTGAGTAAAAACTAGATAAGGCAACAGAACTCCAAATCTGTCCTCTAAAACAAATCTAAGGATTTTTTAAAACTTAAGTTTTCCTTAATATCAGAGTATATAAAACCTGAAAAATCATTTCCTAGAGCCAAATAAGTTTTAGTTATATTAAATGTGCCAAATACAGTAATTTATTTTTTTATGTATTTTTAAAATTTTTATGCTTATTTCTGAGAGAGAGAGAGAGAGAGACAGCATGAGCAGGGGAGGGTCAGAGAGAGGGAGATACAGAGTCCGAAACAGGCTCCAGCCTCTAAGCTAGCTGTCAGCACAGAGCCCAACACGGGGCTCGAACCCATAAACCATGAGATCATGACCTGAGTTGAAGCTGGACGCTTAACCAATTGAGCCAACCAGGTGCCCCCCAAATACAGTAATTTAAATGTAATTGTTAGAGTACTTCAGTGAGGGTAACAAACTTTTCCTTTTCAAATCCAAGACTTTCAAAGTTAAAACTGGGAAAGCCCTGGACAAAGAGAGACAACTTGGGTCACCTTAACTTACTTTTGGAAGAAAGTAAGAAAAGCGCACTCAATAGTCCCTTACTGAATAAGCAAAATCTTGGGCCTGTATTTACCTTGTTATTTGAGGGTTTATATGTATACACATACGTATTTGTGTATATATATTATATATGTATATACATAAATATACCTCTGTACCTACTGTGATTACTATGGGTACATAGGTGCTTTTTTTTTTTTTTTTTTTTTTTTTTTTTTTTTTTTTTTTTTTTTTTTTTTTTTTTTTTTTTTTTTTTTTTTTTTTTTTTTTTTTTTTTTTTTTTTTTAAACATTTATTCATTTTGAGAGAGAGGGAGGGAGAGATTCTCAAGCAGGCTATGTAATGACAGCAGCAAGCCCGATGTGGGGCCCTAATTCACAGTGGGCCATCAAGGTGCCCCCTGATTTTAGAAATTTTATTTTAAGGCTTCCTTTACTGGTGGTTTCTCAGTGACTGAGCAGGTTTCTATAGAAAGCATCAAACTAATTTTAGGTTCTTTTTGCAGTACAAATAAGTGGCCCATTTTTAAACTCCCAAGTTATCTCATTCTCTTATACATATATAAGTTCTAAAAAGTTGCTTAATACTACAAATTGTTGACAATTAAAAAATTAGCTTCTGGGGTTCCTGGGTGGCTTAGTTGGTTAAGTGTCCCAACTCTTGATTTCAGATCTGCTTTGGATCCTCTGTCCCCCTTTCACTGTTCCTCCTCAGCATGAGCGCACTCGCTCTCTCAATAAATATACATTAAAAAAAAAATCCTAAAATCATATTACTTAGGAAATCTGAGTGGTCCTTTAAATTTATAGCAACATAGGGGCACCTGGGTGGCTTAGTCGGTTAAGCGTCCAGCTTTCGCTTAGGTCATGATCTCATGTTCGTGGGTTCAAGCCCCGCCTCGGGCTCTGTGCTGACTGCCCAGCTCAAAGCCTGGAGCCTGTTTCAGTCTGTGACTCCCCCTCTCTCTGACCCTCCCCTGCTCACGCTGTCTCTCTCTCTCTCTCCTAGAAATCATAAATTAAAAAAAAAATTTTTTTAAATAAAAAAAATAAATAAATTTATAGCAACATAATCACTTTCAATGTATAGAAGGATTTATGGTGTGGGTGACAAATTACACTGGCAATTAAGTTTGTTCCTCACTAACTTAAAAACGTTCAGCCAAAAAGCATGAAAGAGGCAAAACTATTCAAGAACCCTTTCTGTACTGACAGAATTGAATTGACTTGAATCACCTTGTTATTTTGTGGAAGGCAGGTATATATATCTTGACTAAAAACAAAGTTATTAAATTCCCCTTTGGATTTAGAAAGATTAATTTAAGAGAAATTACAGATATACTATGATAGAAGAAGAGGATTCAATAGGCAGAGAGGGAAAGATTATGGCTTGAGGTCCCTGGGTGGGAAAAACATGTGTTTTGGAACAATGCTGGGAGTGTCTGACCAAAGCGAGCCCCCTCGGGTATTCAGTTCCTCTTAAGAATGCAACATACCCCGTCTACTCCCCCACAGGTTTCCCCTCCAGAATCTGACAAAAGACCTAAGTATGGCCATAGACCACCCTTCATACAATGGAAACGAGCCCATCAGAAAGAGATAACCCAGCACCTAAAACTAGCAAGCCAATAAGGGTAGAATCTGAGAAGGAACAAGGAGGAAGGGATAGGGGAGGTCTGACCAGATCCTTATAAAACAAGGATCCTTCCCTAGAATCCTCGGGCATTCATTTGCAGTCACTTTTGAATGTTCCCTCTCTGGAAAGAGAGCTTTCCTACTATTCTTACTTACTTTTTTTTTTTTTTTTTTTAATGTTTTTTAATTTATTTCTAGGAGAGAGAGAGAGAGAGAGCATGAGCAGGGGAGGGGCAGAGAGAGAGGGAGACACAGAATCTGAAACAGGCTCCAGGCTCTGAGCCAGCAGTCAGCACAGAGCCCGACGCGGGGCTCGAACCCATGAACCGCGAGATCATGACCTAAGCGAAAGTCGGACGCTCAACCGACTAAGCCACCCAGGCGCCCCTCCAATGCACCTAAAATTTTGTGGGATGTCGGAAACCTAAGCCTAAGCCCCAGTCCTGCAAGAGACCCAACCAAGACTCTANAGAGCCCGACGCGGGGCTCGAACCCATGAACCGCGAGATCATGACCTAAGTGAAAGTCGGACGCTTAACCGACTAAGCCACCCAGGCGCCCCTCTTACTTTCTAATCTTACACTCTAATAAGCTTTTGCCTGCTGCTCATTTTGTGTCCACCTCTTCATTCTTCGAAGAGGTGAGACAACAAATTCCAGGTATTGTGGTAAAAAAAAAACCTGCAACAATACCTTAAAGATAATGTGGTTTCGGTTCCAGACCACAATAAAGCAAATATTGCAATAAAGCAAATCAGATGAATTTTTCGGTTTCCCAGTGCATATACAAGTTGTATTTGTACTATACTGTTGTCTATTAAGTGTGCAATACTGTGATGTCTAAAAAATGTACATACCTTATTTAAAAAACACTTTATGGGGCTAGGGTGCCTGGGTGGCTTAGTTGGTTGAGTATCTAAATTTCAGCCTAGGTCATGATCTCAGTTTGTGAGTTCGGGCCCCACATCTGTGCTGTTACTGTAGAACCTGCTTAGGATTCTCTCTCAAAATAAATAAAATGCTTACTGGAAGCTCTAAGAAATGAAAGGGCAACTAGGGAATAAAAGGAGACAAAATTATTAAGATAGAACTGGGGTATTAAAAAACTAAGCTTTTCTTTTATAGGTAAGGAACCAGAGATTTCAAAGGCTGAGTGATCCTAGGTAATGAGGCCTCTTACATTGGAGGGGAAGAGCTCAAATCTTTTTTTAACTTTATTTATGTAATCTCTACAACCAATGGTGGGCTTGAACTCATGACCCTGAGATCAAGAGTCATACACTCTTTTGTCTGAGCCAGCCAGGTGCCCCATAAAAACCCAACTCTTTTATTAGCTGAGGTTTCATACACTATAGACAAATCAGCTGTTAACTGAATCCCTCCAGAAAAGCCCATTACCTTAATTCCCCCTTCTTTACTCCAAGTGCCCTCCATAGAAAGTTCTGATCTTAGTTTCTCTTTTTTAAAATTTTTAAAAAATGATTTATTTTTGAGAGAGACAGCGTGAGCAGGAGAGAGACAGAAAGAGAGGGAGACACAGAATCCAAAGACAGGTTTCAGGTTCCGAGCCAGCTATCAGCACAGAGCCTGATGCGGGGCTCGAACTCACAAACTGTGAGATCATGACCTGAGCCAAAGCTGGATGCTTAACCGACTGAGCCACCCAGGCGCCCCTGATCTTAATTTCATCCTTGAATAGATGCCTCTATAGGAAACAGTCTTCTTTCAGTTTTAGAGTATGAGGTATCCTTGGAGATCTTTGATCTAGTTCAAATTCCTCACTTGGGACAGGATGAGAAGGTGTGGTAGCACTTCAAACACTTCTCAGGGCTTTTGGGTGGAAAAGGGATTTAAAATTCTGTCTTATCTCCAAGAGGCAGAGCAAAAAGTAACTGCATAGAATTGCAAGTACTAAATTTCAACTCTCCAATACAATTGCCTAACACCAGAACAGGCCTCCTTCATAGAGAAGTCTCTCCTAGGAAGATATCCAGGAGAGAAAAGTTACAGAAAACCTATGTGTGCCAGAGAAAGACCACAGCAAACTGTTAAGATTCCTTAACTAAATGGCATTACTAATTCTAAGTTCAGTAAGTGTTACAGTGAAATTTAAGAGTTCCTGGTTTGATTTAACTAAGCTTATCTTGTGAGACATCCCCCAAAACATGTTGTTAATCCAAATACTGTCAACTCCCCATGAAAGAGATCAGTGTGCCCTGTGCGTGTGCACGCACACTCAAAAGGCAGGAGACTGTGCAGGGAGTCACCTACCTGCTTTCCTATAACAACTGAAAAATAAAACTAGTAGTCAACAAGCTATTAATCCAAATAATGTCATTTCCCCATGAAAAGGACCAGTACATGTGTGAGAAAGAACATAAACGTGGAGGCTATTGGGAGAGCCACTTACCTGCTTCCTGTAACAACTGAAAAATACAACTGGTAGTTTTATTTGAGATTGCAGCTTTTCCTTCCAGGTGATTCTTTCTGGCTGCATTTCCTGCTGTTATCTGGTCCTTGGACTGCAGGAGGACTTTTCCTGGACTGTCTAGCAATTCATAGACTTCTTTTGTTTTACCTTCATAGAGTTTTTTACCAATATTCAGCACTGTGGAAATAAAGCGGGAAACATCAGATTTAAGGGAAAAATTTCCTAACTGAAGACTGAATTATCTAGAATGATGAATCCAGGAACATACAAAGTGGTTAATAATTTTAATAAAAATTCATTCATCTGCATAGAACCTTATATGCTACAAAGTATTTTCACAGGCATCATATTTGATTCACCTAAATTTGTGAAAAATTGTAACTATGTAAATTACAACTGATCCTTGAATGATGTGGGGGTTAGGGTAAAAAAATCTGCATATAACTTTCACTCCCTCAAATCTTAATTAATAGCTTACTGTTGATCAGAATCCTTATTGATAACGTTAAATGCTTGAGTAACATGTATTTTGTATGTTCTATATGTATACCATATTATATTATATTATTCTTACAAGCTAGTAAACTAGAGAAAATAAAATTTTTTACGTTTGTTTATTTTGAGAGAAAGAGCACAAGCAGGGGAGGGGTAGAGAATCTCAAGCAGGCTCCAAACTCAGATCTTTCTGTAGTAGGCAAAATGGGAAAGTTCAGCCAGAAGGGTTTCTTGATTTTTAGTTAAAGTCCAGGGGGAGGCATCCCCACCCACTAAAGATAGCCCATTTCCTAGCACCTCTATTTCTTTTTTCAGTTCACAAGCACACACGTGAACATGGGAGAGGCTCAGAGAGAGAGAGAGAGAGAGAGAGAGAGAGAGAGAGAGAGAGAGAGAGAATATCCCAAGCAGGCTCCACACTGACAGCACATAGCTTGATGCAGGGCTTGATCTCACTGTGAGATCATGACCTAAGGTGAAATCAAGGTGTACACTTAACTGATAGAACCACCCAGGTGCCCCTGGCACTTGTATTTCTTAATCTTTCTTCCCTCCCACTGTTAATCCTTTCTCCACACTAACAGATGTAGAAAATTGTGAGGAAGTGAGGACAAGAGAATCTAATTTTGATGCAGGTCACAGACCTTTAAAAAAAAGTAGACTCTGGTCATTAGAAAGAATGATTTAGATGAAGATCAGGTAACACAAGTTTAAGGGCTTAAAATTTGCAAGGGAAGAAATCCTTCATGCTTCCAGAACATGGCACTCATTCTCAGTATTGGCATTTTTAAGTGTCCATGTGCCAGGTACACTAGGGATATAACAGTAAACAAGACAGAGTTCCTGTTTTCATGCAACCTGAGTCTGAAGGAAGCTGAAATTAAACAGGACACCATAATAAGTATGATGTGAGAAACAGACTACAGGATCACAGGTTCACAGCAGACCCACCTAACCTAGTCTAGACCTCAGAGAAGAAAGACTGGAACAAAGTAAAGATTAGGTTGCAATCTGAGGAAGGGTAAACACTTTAGCCAGAAGAGGGAAAGGGGCAGGTAGCGGTGGAGACGATGGGGTAAAGGAGTTCATGGCAGAATTTCAGTATGGTTGGAACACTGTGTGTGCATACACTGCTGTAGGTTAGTGGAAGGAGGGCAGCAGCTTAGAGTAGAAAAGAATGGCAGGAAATAAGACAAGAATTGGGCAGGAGTCAGAACACCAGTTAGGGGAGGTAACCATTAAACCAGTTACAATTCAGTGTAATAGCTCACACTGCAGGGTACCTAGAGGATGAATCCCCACCCTATTATAATGTCCTGACTCTCTGCCAAGGTTTAAAAGGCTCAAGATAGAGCCTCAGCCCAGTGCTCCAACTTCAAATTTCTTGATTCCCTTCCCAGAACTCTAACTTCCATAAATGAATTTCTATATCCCACTTTCAGGATTTTGACATGCTCTCTCTTGGCCCAAACAGTTTCCTTCCCTTGCATTTCACTATTCATTCGTCAGGCCTCATACATCATGTTGGTTAATATGTAGATTTCACCCTAAGGACAACCATGTGGCTTTTAAACACATCAGCAAAATCACAGATTTCTATATCAGAAAGATCATTATGGCTGCTGTGTGGAAAATGAAATGAGGAAGGGGTGGATGGACGAAAACAAAAGACTGAAAGACCAATTAGGACGCTGTTGCAGTAATGCAGCCCAAGAAGTGTCCTGGCCTAAGAAAAAAGCAGTGGTGAAAAGGCTCAAGGTATTTAAAAGGTAAAAGTTTTAAGAATCTCATTCAAGATGGGGATAAAAGAGGGGGAAAGTCAAGGGTGTTCCCTGGGTTAGCTACAAGGCAAAAGAAAGTTTTTAACTACTGCATCTCCTCAATTTAGTCGAATCCATATTACCTAGTTGTTAAACAGGGTAGGAATTTCAATTAATGGATAGATAAAAACATAATCATTGAAGACATATATTACAAGTGCCAAAACACCTGCTAAGAACTAGTAGATGAATTCAGAAGAAACTGATGAGGACTGAAAATTTGTAGAATTGAAATTTAAGAGTCTTAAAATGTAAAGAATTTCCATAGAGAAGAGATAAAAAGATCTAGGGCTGTGCCCTCCAGTAAGGGAGTTACTAGCCACATTTAGTCATGAAATATGAAACATGGCTACTCTAAATTGAAATGTGACTTAAGTGTAAAATACACAGTGGATTTCAAGATGAAAAAAAAGGATGAAAAGTATCACATTTAAAATATTGATTACATGTGGAAAGTATTGCTTTGGATATACTGGGCTACAGACAATATATTATAATTCATTTCACTTGTTTCATTTAATCTCTTAAAATGCTACTACTAGAAAACAAAGTTATAGAGTTTCACATTATATTTCTACTGGCAATGTTCTAGTAGACACAGCATAAATCAACACAGATGAGTGAACTTGGTGAATTAACGGAACTGGAATGTAAGCTTAGGATTCACAAGAGAAAAATCAAAGTTAGGGTTGAAGGGTTCTGCAAGTATGCAGGAGGTGAAAGGGTCTTCAGACTGAATTTTAATAGCTCTTGGGTTGCCACTGAACATTTTGAGCAAGGAAGCGCCATTTAAAAATTCTAAAAGTGACATTTGTGGGGCGCCTGGGTGGCTTAGTCGGTTAAGCGTCCGACTTTCGCTTAGGTCATGATCTCGCGGTTCCTGGGTTCGTGCCCCGCGTCGGGCTCTGTGCTGACTGCCAGCTCAGAGCCTGGAGCCTGTTTCAGTCTGTGACTCCCTCTCTCTCTGACCCTCCCCTGCTCACGCTGTCTCTCTCTCTCTCTCCTAGAAATAATTAAAACATTAAAAAAAAAAGTGACATTTGATAAAGATTAACCTGCCATTGAGATTCTACCAGTTTGGATGTACGGTAGGAAAAAAACTGCTCTAATACCCTGATTTTAGGGAGCTGTTACTCGTTATCATCTTGATCTTTTTGTTTAGTCTATAATTTTTTATCTCAGTTCAATTTTTTTGTGTGGAGGACAAGGTACTGACTAGCCAACACAAGCAAGTTCATTCACTATAAATTTAAAATGGGGGGTGTGGGGAAAAATACATTTTATCAGCATAAATGTCACAAGCGATCTTTCCCTAGGATCTAATCACTCACAGATAAAGTGATTATGTAAATATGATGAATGCAAAAAGCAATGTTGAAAAAACAACTTTTTGCCTGGTGCTTTTGGAGCTCTTCAAAGCCATCACGGCATCAAATGACTATAAAACACTCATGTACACACAAAATCTGGACAGAAAAAAAAGCAAATTTCAGTAGATTCCACTTTTAACTTCTAGGAAATAGCTGGTTATTATTAAATACGAAGCAGGACTTTGAAAAATACATACATATGTTCCTGTCATTGTTTTGCAATTATCTATTGATTACCAACATGATTTCCGGGCACCTCTCCAACCCCTGACCATCTCTCTATGCAGTCACTTTGTTCCCTTTCCCCAATCCAGAGCTAGTTCCGAGTATTTCAGAAAGTTCGGGACGCCTCGCTCGGCGGTGCCTGGGCCACGTGTCCGTCGGTCCAGCGGCCTAGAGGGGCGGCTGGAGGGAGACCAGGAGCCGCCGGGGGTTGGGGTCGAGAGGCAGCCAGGAGGGCCGCGGGGCGCGCACCGAGCCCGCAAACTCTAGGCGGCGGGGAGGAGGGCGGGAAGACCACGGAGTGAAGGGAGACCCCGGTATTTTCCTGCGGACGCCTGTTACTCACCCTCTGCTGTCGCCATTATCCTCTGTGGGCTGGGGTCAGCGGCCGCGCTGGGAACTGAGACAGGACTCTGGAAAAGAGGAGTGGTCAGAGAGGCTCACCCGCCTGGGAAGGGAGGGCGGCCCAGACACAGCCCCGGGCAGGCCTGGTATTCCGGAGAGTCGATACACGCTCTCCACCAGCACCACAGCGCAAGAGACTCACACCGGACGTCTCCGCCGCCCCGCAGGAACTGCGACTCCCGGAGCAAGCTCTACCCTCCAGGCTTCCCGCCGCGCAGGCGCAGAGACGCAGGCCGCCCCCCACCGCGCGCCGGCGCTGTTCCAGAAGAGGCGAAAAGTGGCGCGCACTGGCGGCCCCTCCCGATTCTACAAAGGCTAGCTGACCGGCCCCTTTCTCCGCCGCGAGAGCGGTTCATAGGTTGGAGCGTACCAAGTAATGACGGCCGGGGGAAAGCATGTGAGGAGGAGCATACAAAGTTTACATCCTCTGAGATAGAAATGACGTTGACCCTACTGCTTTCATCACCCTAATCTTGGGTGTTGGAAAATAACGGAGATTTCCACGTGCAGCCAAAGTACTTTCCCGGAGGGCTCGGGCAGAGGGCTAGCTCCACCCTAGGCGTCTGTGACTCCTCCTCTAGCTGCGGAGGCTCAAGCCCCCTCCGTGCTCATTGGTGGATCCTGAAGGGGCTGGGCAGGGTGGCAGGGGGCAAGCTAATCACGCTTACTTTGGGGAGCGCGCGCCGCCGCAGTAGCAAGGGTCGTGCGGCTGGGAAGGAAGCGAGCTTTTAGGCTTACGGGCCGAGCAGGCGCTGGTGTAGTGCCCAAGCCCCTGCCGCGGCGGCAGGTCCCTCCACGTGCTTTCGGCAGCGACATGGAGCTGGAGGAGTTGGGAATCCGAGAGGAATGTGGCGTCTTCGGGTGCATCGCCTCAGGAGAGTGGCCCACGCAGCTAGATGTACCGCATGTGATCACCCTGGGACTTGTGGGGCTGCAGCACCGGTGAGCAACCGGCTGAGGGGTGGGGGTGGCGGCGCGTGTGCTGCTGCTTCGGCACCAGCGGTTTCCTGCGGCCCGTGTTAGCGATCTCGTGCGCGCCTGAGGGCCAGGAAGCCAGACCTCTGCTACCTGGATTGGTGTCTGCCTGTGGCATCGACTAGGTGGCCAAGGCGTGCGCGGGTACCACCTTGCATCCCCGGACTTGCTTCTCACCCCTCAAGCCTTGATGGTCTTTAGGGGCTCCCCTCCTTCTCCCTGCGTGCACCTCTCATGAGTCTGGCCAATTTGTAAGGCTCTGGTTCTCTAGGGTTAGCCGGGTCGGAACTTCTCCCCGACTACTTGCCGGTTTTAATCTTGTAGAGCCTGGAGCTGCTTTTGAGAAGGGTTTATGTAGGGTGGCTGCTGGTCCAGGACTTACGACACCTTGAGGTGTTTGCGCGGAGCCTTCCACCCACCACAAGCTTTTGTTTGCAAGGGCAGAGCTGCTGTTGAGCACATTGTAGATATGAATGTAGTCATAGCTATGAGAATTTAGGAATTCTAGAGTTCATACCCCAGGAAGCAGCTAGTTGGCATTCAAAAGGAACTCTCGGTTGTAGATCTCCTACAGATTAACTGAAAATGAACCAGTCACAGGAAATAGTGCATCTGCAAAAGATTCACGGGTTTCAGATAGTGAAGGAAAAGGTTGTAGTAAGGAGAGGCCAAAAAGTAACTCCCTTCTTTATTTCAAAGGGAGCAGTACCTGTATGACAAGATACATACTGATTTTGAAAAATTGGTACATCCCTTTGAGTTAAAAAATAACTTGGCTTCTGTGATGTTTCCTTTTTTACTACCTGGAATTTGATATAAATCTAGATTTAACATTATCACTGACAGTATTACAAAGTTTTCATAAGGCAATAACTGCAGCAACGACTTTTAGAACAGTTAAGGAACTTGGCAATAATACTTATCAGCAATATGAGAGCAACAAGTATAAATGCGTTCCAAATGATTTGCTTTGCCTCACCAAACTTGAATTTAAGTAGTCTTTTTGATTTTTTTCAGGGTCACAAATATTTGAGGTTTAGTTTCACATCTTGTGTACTCCTCTTTAAATACTAGAGTAACATAGTCTGTTATGAATCAAAAAGAATATTTTTAACTTGAATGAGTCTAACTTGGATATTTGCGGGTTGACCCTAATTAGAAATCTTGTTTTAAAATACTGTACTTTCTTTTTTTTCTTTCTTCCTTTTTTTTTTTTTTTGGGAAGATTAGATATAGAATCCAAGGGAAAAATAAAATATACTTATGGTAGTGCGCAGCAACATTATAACATTCTTAGAATAAGTTACCGTGGATGTTCTGAAGGTAAGAGGTGTGCAGAAACCAGGGATCTTTATAGAGTTGCCTGGCAGTCTGGGAGACAAATGAACTGACCTTGATTTTTTAAAATTATTTACGTTTTAACTAAAATAACTTACAATGTTCATCTTCGGTCCCTTTTAAATATGTGCTAGAAGAAAAAGGGACTTTTTAAAAGGTGAATACAAGTCGAGTCCCAGGTACATGCACTCTTCTGTAGTTGCTTTTATGTGGAAGCATTATACACTTAGACAATACAAGATAAGAGCAATAAAATGTAATTATATGATAATAGAGCAATAATAAATGGAATCAGTGAGGCCGCTCATTTGACCAAATAAGTCTTTGTTACACTGTGTTTGAAGATTGACCTTGTGATGTTTTCAATAACAGTGGCAAGGAAACCAGTAGCTTCTGGGGAACAAATGTATTAATGGAAAACTATTTAAGAGTTTCCTTGTGTAGGCATAGAATCATTAAGGTGCACTGAGGAGGCCGTTTCTCTCCCGTAATTTTCCCAATTCAAAATTTTGAATTAGCAAAAGTCCTTACCCTTCAGAGGAACTGACTCTGATTGGAAGAATGTCTCCCTAGTGTATTGAAGATAAAATCTTCTGTTATTCTGAACCAGTAGGTAGGACTCACAGATTAAGAACTGATGTTTTTCTGTGGCATTGAATCAAGGAATATAGAACTGGGTGCCTTAGGTTGTTATCATAGCTTAATATAGAGTTAGTTATGTACGCTGTACAGTGGCAAGTGGTGGTCTGTTGCAGAGGTCTGTCTCCTCACCTCCTTCCACTCAGTAGTTGTTTTAAAATTACAGTAGCACGATTCTGCCGTTGTTTTTTTTTTTTCTTTTTGGTGAAGGAATTTCGTAAGCATTATCTTTTTAAGTCATGGAATCTAGAAGGTGGGGTTGTTATCACTTTTGCATTGTATTTTGGTTCTGTTTTTGTCTTAGGCATATTCTGATCTAAAAAATTTAGTCTTGGGGATAATAGAGTACAAGAAAGTTACAATATTATGTATTTCATGTAAAAACAAATAGAACATCAATCACTAGATAGTCATGCACTGCATACTTAATCCAGGTGGGTTCATCCAGAAGTACTTCTTTCTAGTAGTTCTGGCTATTTGCAAATTTATTTCATAGTCCTGCTTTTCATCAAGGAGAATTTTAGCTTAACATTTTCAGTGTCCTCTTTAGCTGTGAACTGTGTGTGCCTGTGTATTCATGCCACATACATTTAATCACCACATGCTTTTCATTTCTAAAAACTATGGTTCAGTGGTTTGCAGATTTCTGAACAAACCACATACACCTTTTAAGATCAGACATTTTCGTGTTTAGGGGTGTCTTGGTGGCTCAGTTGGTTAAGCGGCTGACTCGTAATTTCAGCTCAGGTCATGATCTCATGGTTTATGAGATCAAGCCTGGTCTCAGGCTCCATGTGCTGACAGCTCAGAGCCTGCTGGGAATTCTCCTCTGCCCCTCCCCCACTCATGCTGTACTCTCTGTCTCTTTCGCAAAATAAACTTTAAAAAAAAGAAATCTTCATGTTTAAACTACAGGCATGTTTTCTGGAAGCTAGAATGACATGGACATATTTTGAAGATTCCATAAAAGGAATTATTAAAATTTAATAGATTTATCGCATGAATCAACTAGTTAGCCTTTCCTTGGTTAATTAGGAGATGAAAATGCCCACTCTTTTAGTGACTTATAATTTCCCTGGGTTAGGAATTGAACCCTACAACTGATAAACATTTTCATATTTGTAAAAATTTTGAGATTTACCTGATGAAGTTGGATTGCGTAGGGGGTCTCCTGTTTGTAGAAACATTCTGTAGAATCTTTTCGTTCTGTTATGCTTTGAGGAAACTGACTTGCAATCATCTCAGGAACAGTTTTCTTAAGAGATATAGACACTGGTTCTGTAAACAGAGTATTTAACATTATCACTGGAAAGGCTACTTATGAGAAAGACAGATGCACTCTGACAACCTTTATGGAATTAGTTTCCATTTATCTTCATTTGCTTTGTTGGAGTACACAGGAATAGGTTGTCGGAGAAATTGCTTTGAGTTGCCAAATTTAAGGCTGGTGATAACTTTAGTTTGATATTCATCTCTTAGTAATAATGACCAAATATGTCATATTTCTGTAGTTTTATATACCTTTGGTTGGGGAAGTGACTTATGTTAAAGCGATCCTTGCTAATTTTTCCAGTCTTTGGTTTTGAAAGACTTTATTTCAATTACTTTTATAATTTAATGATTCTCAGTTTTCAGCCATAAGTATTTTCAACTTTTCCAGTTATAACTATTATTTAGAAGTTTGCTTTTTGCATTAGTTTGAAGCAGAATTTGTCTATCCGTAAAAGAGTTTCGAAGTACCACTGCTTTGTCATTCTGGTCAATATTGGAAATAACGTTGAGACTTGAAATCTGGTCTTAGGTTTCCTAGCAACATCAACTTGATCTTGGGCAAGTCTCCTAACTTCTGAGTTCTCATCTGTTGGGCTAGATTTAATGTACTTAAAGGTTCAATGGGCAAAATCCAGTGGGTTGGGAATGATATTTTTGTGTGGTTAGCCCTTGGCAGTTTTCCTTTTCAGTAGCATATATACTATAGGGCATGAAAAGAAGGAAAGGGTCAGACAACTCATTTTATTCTCCATTTTTGGACGTAAGTCCAAAATGGAGAATAGTATTTTCACCTCACTTGAGACGATAAGGGTCATGGAGAGTAGGGAGACTCCAGTTATTACCTAATACTTTATTTGAAAAACACTTGTTAAGCTTCTATTGTGTATATATAAGGCACTGTGGTCAGTACTAGGAATACTGTGCTGCACAGGGTAGATGTGGTCCCTGGACCTCACAGGGAGGCAGAGTTAGCCAGATGGTTCAGGA